AAAAACCAGTGTGCCCACACTTGCCACGAAACCATATTAAAACCTTGTATAAATAAAACCATAAAATAAATTACCTTGTAATGACCATAAATAAACTGTAAACCTTGTAAATAACCCCATTTAAACCATATAAACCATATATGACTATATAAATAAAACCATATATACCAATATAAATAAAACCATATATACCAATATGAATATATATATATACCCCCATTAAAATACCATACGATAAGGTATAGTAGATCCCCACATTAGTGTATTAAAACCATGGAACCTAACAATGTACTATATACAATACATCCCTTATTACATAAAACCATAAAATCTATATAAATAAAAACATGGGTTACATACCAATCCTAACAAACATGCACTTTATAAACATACCTTTTAAAATATTACATGCACCATTATACTTTTGCTTAGTGGCCACTAAGTTTGTGCAGCCCTCACCAAATTCTATATTTTAAGAGGAGCCTATATTTAATGTACTGTACCTTTTAGCTCTTCAATTTCATTATAAAATAGTATACAGTCAAACATAAAATGCTGGAGGGTGTTGACAGCACTGCACTCACAATGGTCATCCTCAACCAAGTGGAATGACTTTGACTTACTTTGGAAGTCACCATGTCCACTTAAAAACTTTGTGGACATGGTGAATTGGGCTTTATCCATTTAGCCTTTAACCTTTGATTAATACTAGGAAAGAAACCATATGTGATTCTCCCTTTATTTAGACTGTTCCACTGGTCTTGCCACAAACCATTTACCATATTGATCACCTCTTCCTTTCAACCTTGGCACTTGTTGCAGTGCCATCATACACCACTCTGCCATAATTAAAAACCATTCCCTTTCTTATTAACCACCCACCTTTCACTTAGGGACTCCAGCTCACTCCTCTGGAGTCCTAAGTGAAAGTGAATTATAACGCTAGATCATCCGCATAAGCAACATACTTAAAACTTTCGTTTAAAATCCTTAGGATATCATCAAATGCTAAGTTCCAGAGGACAGGTCCAAGTACTGACCCCTGTGGGCAATCCCTATTCACTTTCTTTACCACCCTCAGGTTAGCTTCCTCTTACTATCTTTCTATATGACAAATAGTTCCTTAGTAACCTATATAAATCACTGGGACAATGCCTGTATATTAATTCTCTAAAATCAAGGGCCACCATAGATGATCAAATGCCCCTTTTATATAAAAAAAATATACTAAAAACGTATTTGCTACAAGACTTTACAACCTCTCGGAGTCTCATCAATGCATCCTCCATTGAATAACCTTTTGTAAAACCATATTGATACTTATTATTATACTTGTTTATTAGATTCTAATCTGTTCTTAATAATGCATTTGAAAATCTTGCCCAGCAACAGTACTAAAGAAATGGGCCGATATGACCTTGGATTAGTCTTATCTTTATCACATCTTTATAAATTATTACCACTTTTCCCTGTTTCCAACAATTTGGGAAGACACCATATACCAAACATGCCTGATTTAGGCACCTCATATGAGGCTTTAAAATATCATAACCTTCATTAATTATCTCATACGTAATTTTATCAGCCCCGGGGGGCTTTTGCCCCCGCAAAGCCTTAGTGGCTATGTCAACATCATTATCTGGTTATATCATTGACATGCTTAATATCAATATATTCATGCACCATAACTCTTGTTTGGCTTTGAGCCATATTATCCTCCTGCTTGACACCATTAGGAAACAGGGAGCACAATAAGAACTCAACTACCTCGGTCCAATTGAGTAATTCCCTATCACCACTTTTCATATTCATCAATACCTGATTAGTCTTGAGCTTTTTTGTTAAAATTTTGTAAGGGGTACCCCAGGGAACACCTTTAGTTTTGGCATTAACATACCTTAGCCAACTTTCTGTATGAATAACCTTTATCCTGCTTTTATATAATTTCCTTTTATTGAGGTACACACTTTTTAAGTATGCCCTTTGTTCATTATCAAAACACCTTTGAAATGTCATTCATTGCCTTTTAAGGCTATCCAATTTGGCACACCACCACCTATGAGCCTTGTGCTTCCTTTCTTTCTTAGGGATAGACTGCACAATAGCATTCTGGATACTACATTGTATATGGGTGCAGTATCTCATAACATCATACTTGTCCTCTAGTACCTCAAAATTTTTCAAAGATAAATTTAGTCCCAGTTTATGCTGAAATTTGTGCCAATTAGCACTATCAAAGCCAAAAGTAAATGTACTCTCTGGAGGATCAAGAGCTTTACCTACGTCGTACTCATAATTAATCAGTTCACGATCACTAGTGGTTGCATTGGTTATATGCCAATTATCAATTACCACACCACGTGTAGCAAGGGTCAAATCAATATACAAGAAACCCCTACTGGATATAAAAGTAGGACCTGCCTCTGGACCTTTACACATACCAAGTTCCATTTAAAAATAGTTTCTGAAACCAGATTGCCTCTTTCATCAGTAGTCTCACTGCCCCAGAGAGTAGCCTTAGCATTACTATCCATACCTATAATAATATTTTCTCCTTACAGCTTCCCCAGGATACACTCAAGCTCGCTTAACCCAATATTAATTAGAGATGCCATAAATATTTGGCGACTATTTGGTATTCGGCCTATTTGGCTACTTTTTTTAATATTTGGTATTTGGCCAAATGTTGCATACTATTCGGCCAAATACCAAATACCAAATCATGAAAAAAAAAGCACATATTACTCAAAAATGTATTTATTTTAATCACAAATTATTACATTTAATACTTAAAATCTATCAGTGGTAAGTTGTGATGAATGAAAACAATTTTTTCAGCATTTGTTGATAGCAAACGATTGCGCTTTTCCTCATAAACTATACCTGCTTCTGAAAGTAGCCTCTCACTATATACGCTACTGCTGGGAGATGATAGATAAATCTTAGCGAATTCTGTCAAACTTGGATACTGTTTTGCATTTGCTGACCACCACTTGTAAAGGTCTACTGGCCGATGTAGGCGAACAGTTTTCATATAAAGTGATACAAACAGTGATATTTTTTAGTAATAGGGACTATTAGTAACACAATTTGATGTAACAATGAACAAATAATGCATGTCATGACATGATCTACTTGCAAATAAAACAAATGCACCTGCGGTGTCGCTACCACACCCACCGCAATGAGACAGGTTGTAACCTGTCACCCACAAAATGTACACATATTTTGCCGAACATTCGATCACCAAATATTCAGCGCTTCGGCCGAGAGCATAGCCGAATATTCGGTATTCGATATTCAGCAAAATCACTATTCGTGGCATCACTAATATTAATATTGACACTAGGTGGAAAATAAATACTGACCACATACATGACACATACAAACCATCTTCCATGACTTGTGCTACAGCACATGTTCAGGATGAAAAACTTTGAATATCTAAAATTGCCCACTTTCTATTATAAATAATAACAGCTGCCCAGGGCTATGTCTGGGCACACTGATAGTGGACGACCTTCACCTTAGTATTGAACCCAAGGACCTGGACCATGTTAATGGCAATCACAAAATATGTGTACATTTTGCGGGTGACAGGTTACAACCTGTCTCATTGCGGTGGGTGTGGTAGCGACACCGCGGGTGCATTTGTTTTATGTGGAAGGAAATCACCAGTGTTAAAGCCTGGGGATGAAAAATAATTTCCAGGCTTTAACGTTGTTGGTTTCCTTCCACAGATGTAAATGTGCCTATTTGCCACCGAGTCTGGCATCTTTTGCCTAGAGCAATGGTTCCCAATTAGTGGTATGCGTACCCCTGGGGTACGCGAAATTGCATGAAGGGGTACACGTGGCAATCTAAAATCTGTAGATTTAAAATTTAAATGCATGAGATGAAGCAATAAAAAAAATAATGCATGAATCATCAAAAATTTGGCAATTTACAACATGATGTCAAATGCACAAATTCGTTTATTTATAACTAAAAATATTCTCGAAATTTCATCAAAAAAATGCATTTGTGACAATACGTAAATGAAATTCTTACACAAGAAACAAAAATTGTACAATTAACACAATTTGTTTTCGTGAAATTAATTTTGAAAATTTTTGTCGCTGTTGCGAATAACTCCCCCCACCACCTTCCCATCTCTGACCAAGAGGAATTAATAGACATTTCATGCAACAGCAGACTCAAGAGTTGTTTTGCAGAGCAATCACTGAGTAATTTTTGGGCTGACCTAAAAGACATTTATCATGTCAGCAAAGTGGCAATAAAATATTTACTACCATTTTGCACAACATACCTCTGCGAGGACGGATTTTCAGCCATGACAAACATGAAAACTAAACATCATCATTGACTTCAACTCAAAGATGACTTGAGTCTGAAGCTGACCATAAAGCAACCAGATTTTTCAAAGTTGTGGAAAGAAAATCGTGCACATTTGTCACATTAAAATTAAATAACCTTATGTTATTTTCATTATTATTAGAATAGTATTTTAAAGGTAATAAATGTAAAAAAAAACTTATTTTATTTATCACTAGCTGTCTATCACTATCTACAGCTTCGCCTGCATTATATCAAATTTTCTCATGGAATTAAGACATTTTCTTGCAGTAAAATGTAGCCTATGTCCATCTCCAACATGTAAGCTATCTCTGTGCCAAATTTTATTAAAAATTCAGCGATTTAGACGTGAAAAGGTGACAGACAGGCAGAATTTCCATTGAATTTATAATATTAGTATGGATTAATATGAATTTCTGTTATAAGGGGTAAGCAAGTTTGAGCTTTTTCTTGTAGTGGTAAGCAGGAAAAACTAATTGGGAACCACTGGCCTAGAGAATAAAATTTCAGAAAGAGAGGTGCCTACCTTTCCATGCAATTTTGGTCCTAAATTTTTGTTTGGACCAAAGTGAAAGATGAGATAGGTGTGGATGTGCCACTCCTCCATTGGTTAGCCTAATCCCTTCTTTTCTTTTCTCTGACAGAGATCATGGGCTGGGAGCATCACCCTGCAGCTGCCTCCTGAAGTGCTGAACATTGACGACGCTCCCCTGCACTTGGACTATTCGCCAGCTGGCGGTACGCCCGCCCCCAACCTGACTTTCTTCACAGCCGACAAGAGGGATGGGGTTGTGGTCCGAGATGTCCTTCCCGGCACTGAATACACCTTTCATCTCTTCTACACTAATGTCTCTTCCTACCGGGTCTGGACCACTAACGTCTTCACTGGTGAGTGCACTTCCCATCTTTCCTTCTTTGAATCACTTCCCTAATTAAACCCCACAGTCCCCGTTTCAGGTCTTCTCTATGGCTTATGAAAGAAGGCTCTCCATGCAGATCCTTCTTTTGTTAAAGCCATGGAGAAGTAACAGTTAAGACTTACTTACATTGCTCTCTTTTAGCTTATTAATATTATAAAAAATAGTGAGGTTACAGCCGAAGTTTTCAATGTGAAAACATGAACGTTGGACGTTCAGTGGTGCCATCCTGTAAGCCTAGAAGTTTGACAATGACGTTTGGAAAGTCGAGCATGATTCTACTGACATTCCAAATGCCGTTGTCAAACTTCTAGACTTACAGGTTATCACCGCTGAATATCCGACGTTCATGTTTTTGCATTGAAAACTTCAGCCGCAACCTCACTAGTATTTCTTATAAAATTTCTCCTAAGGGCATTGTAAAATATAAAAAAATTTCTCTTTCTTAGTTTGAATATAATTTCTGAATTTTAAATTTATATAACATATATTTTATTACACTGATGCATTCTATAAATTAAGTATTAATTTGTAAAATGTAGTGTATAAGAGCTGATGCCAGTCTACTAAGAATGCTGAAAACACTTGTTTTTGTAGTTACTAAAACTGAAACTGGAAATACTATAAGAAAAGAATAAACATTTCACTAAGTTTCAATATTGCTGGAATTTAGTGAATGATTTATTCTTTTTGTATAGTAATCCCATGTTGTTTATTGATTTGCTCTAACTTCTGTGTGAAAAGTCTACTAGTTTTTAAGTGTGGGACAAGGAAAATGCCAAAAAATCTATTGATATTGGCTGTGATTGATGATATAAATTTAAAAAATTTTTCATTTCAGAACCAGACCCACCCATCAATTTATCAGTGGATGCCAGAGAAAGAAAGGTAGCAGAGCTGTTTTGGGATCCTCCTCGAAAAGGGAACTACACGGGATTTAAAGTTAAGGTGATTCCTTTGTCAGACGATGATGAATCTGCCTCTCGGGACTTTGACTCCATCAAATCTCCGTTTGCTCTTCGAGATTTGATACCCGGAGCTAGCTATGAAGCCAGACTCTACTCGGTCTTCCATGGAAAGGAATCGCCAGTCTTTGTCTCCTCCAATTTCACCACTAGTAAGTATCTTTTTCTCTCATTGCTTCCTTCCAATTACTTCTTTACTCTTTTTTTTGCCAAAAAGTTATCTGATTGATTCCACCTGTTATCCTGTGAGCAAAAGGCTTTATTCTATGCATGCAAAATTGATAGTTGGTTTAAGAAAAATGAAATTTGATCTATTTTTGTCTTAGGCCCTGTACACACTAGGCATTTTTCAACGCGCGTTTTAAAGAACCAAGAGTTCTATGTAGCCGTACACACTCAAACGCCAAGCGCGCGTTTGACGCACGTTTATAGATTTTTGTTAAACCGCGTGTTTTGCGGGCACTTTACGGGCACTTTGAGATATATGTGCTGCCTTATAGCGATGATGGAGGAGCACACACAATCAATTACTTTCTCGTCCATTTCCAAACTGAGCCAGTGCTAAACGCCGAACTAACGCTCGTCGAACGCCGAGCTAACGCGCGTTAGCTCAGCGTTAAATGCGCGTTTAACGCGCGTTGAAAAATGCCTAGTGTGTACAGGGCCTTAGACAAACCATTCTTTTCTTTTGCCTGATTGCAAATTGGTTGATGTGATTACTTTAATTTGTAGACATAAAATGGTTTTTATGGTCAACTATATAGCCCAATAGTTCAATTAATGTTGACTTGCTTAAAATTAAACTTTTAAAAAATGTTTTACAAAGCAGCCAGATTTATAAAACTGAAATCAATGAAATTACTAAAAATTTAAAATAAATTTAAATTTGATTATCTTTTGTGTGAAACAACACTACAACATTTTCTGTAGTTATGTCACAAAAGAAAAAAGAGTTGGAAGTAATTTAAAAAATTGATGCAGAAAAATTAAATAAATAATAATAATTTATTAATTATTAAAAATAAGTGTGAAAATTGAAACTAAATTAATACTAAATAAATTAAACCTAAAAATAGTAATTAAATTTAAAAATAATAAAATAATAATGAATACTGGTCTTTACTCTGAAACTGAAACCAAAATTAAAAATAAAATCAAACTAATTAAAATAAAATCAATTGAAAATTGAAATGCTTGTAAAAACTGTTTAAAAGTTGCTTTTCAATTTTCAAAATGTAAATCAAATTAATTTTTAAATTTACATTATTTGTATGTGGTGGTGACTGAATATTTTGCTTTTATCATGTTTCCCCGAAAATAAGACATCCTCTGAAAATAAGACCTAGCGCAACTTTGAGAGAAAAAATTAATATAAGACACTGTCTTATTTTCAGGGAAACAGGGTAATATATACAGGAAATCTTTGTTAGTTCTAAATTCAAAGGACAAAATAATTGTGACTTCGAATTTTTGAGTTTTGAATTATCTGAGATTCGCATATATCTATACAATATGCCAAGTACCATGTAACTGACATAATTAATTAAGCAAATGGAATATGGTTACTTATACAGAATGCTATTTTTGTTAATTAATAATAATAATAAGCTGTAGGTAAACAGCACATGTCCAGTGAGAACCTCACAGGTTGCCAGATAAAAAATTGAGGAAAGAAGTAAAGAAACGTAGTCACAAAATAAATTATTTTTACATAACACCTATAGACAGTGGTAGAAGTCATCTTTTTTTAAAAAGTAAAGCAGAATTCCTTGAAATGTAGCTAAAATTATTTTTAAAGTGGTCCAAAAAGTAGTAAGTTGCCCAAAAGTGATAGCCTGGAGTCATATAAATATCTTAATCTGCTACTGGTAGCCCAATTTTGCAATTCTGAAATCCAGCTGAATTTTATGAAATAAGAGAGAAAAGGAGTAGTCCATATGTAAGGTGACACCTAAAAATGTATTACTGTAAAAGCAGAGTTATATTGACTAGATAAGAGTTTTTGGTCTATTATTCTCTTATAGTATGGAGGCACTTTGAACTAAATGAACAAATTAACATAAGCATATCACAGTTTTGGATAGAAGTTTCACTTTGAATTTTAAAGTTGCTATATTTTGAACTAATCAAATTCCTTAATGTGTAAATCTTTATATCCCAGCTGAGACAAAAGTACAGTTACAAACTAATGGGATTTTGAACTATTTGAGTTTGAATAAACAAGGATTTCCTATATTACTCATTACTACAACAAAATCTTTTTTATCTACAGAAATGAAATCAACTAAAATCTTATCTAGAAGATGAATTTTTGATTTTTTTATACTGAGTTTATAATGATGACAAAACCATTTTACTGATAAGATTAGAAAGAAATTTCCTATAAAAATAATCATTTTAAAGAAAACATTTCTGAATTCACCTTTGCCTATTGACCTGAGTTATTTAATGTATTTATTTGAAATTTGATGTCATGCTTCCATCTGGTCCCAAAGACCATAACATATAATTAGTTATTCAAAATTACTCTCAAATTAATTATTTTGAATGAGAATGGCTGTAGACAGACTCTTTTTTAAAACTTTGTTTCAGAATCTGGCAATTTTAATGATTAACTGATTAAATTTTGGTCTAAAACTTTGTTTTTCATTGCAGAACCAAGTCCACCGGGTCGTTTCATTGTTTGGTATCGTGATAACACTACCCTTTTGGTGCTCTGGCAACCTCCATATCCAGCTGGCGTCTTTGATCGCTATCAGGTGAAAATTTCTCCTCCAGATGCCAACCAAAGTGTATTGTATGTTGAAAAGAAAGGAACACCTCCTGGGCCAGCCCAGGCTGCTTTTTATGGTCTGGTTCCTGGTCGTGCTTACAATATATCAGTGTACACTGTCAGCCTTCATACCTTCAGTGATCCTACTGAAGCTCAATACAGAACTAGTAAGTACTATTTTCACTTTTTTTAAAATAAGTAAAAACGTTTCATTAATTATAATTTTTCTTTTTTAATCTTTAATGTGTAATTACTGTCAAAGCCTATTAAGACAAAGTTAAAGGGACTTAAAAATTGGCACTGTATTTACAAGATTTGTATAAAACAAATGTAACAAAATACAGACTCTGGAGAAAATGTTGGAAAATAAATTTACACCTTGAAATCAACTCCAGCAAAAGTTTAATGAAACAAAAACACTAGCAACCTAATTTGATTCATAATTTATTTATTTTTGTTGATAAAGCAAATTGCAAAATATCAACTGTCATACTATTAAATGGCAAAAGCTAAACCATCTCCAAATTAATTCACTATATTTTAGTTTATTTGGTAATTGTTTAAAAATAAAGATTAGAAATATTTTTTGCACTGAACCTACACTTTACTGAGATATGATGACTTAAAGAAAGAAATCACTTGATCATTGTAAAAATATGCACAGTGATGCACATTTTTGACAGTGGCTTGAAGAAACCATAAGTTGTTGTTTTGACATTGGTTAGAGTTGATAGAACAACAATTAAAGATACTGAATACTGTTTAACAGGCTGATCCAGACTTCAAATTGAATCCAGGAGTTGGATATGCACAAAACTTTACAAATTTAAAAATGACTGATCTGCTTGAATTTCAATGGGAACAGTTTGTTTTTAATTTTAAAATTACAAATTAATTACTATAGTTAATATTATAATTCAGTTGTGTCATTATTTCTGTTAGTTCTTATTTTTAATTAATTTAATATTTCATAAAACTATGGATTTTTAAATCCATAGTTTTATGAAAATCTTGTTAACATCTAGTTTTCAATGTGACAATGCTGAACTGGTTGTTCAGCATTGTCACAGCATACAAAGAGCTAACTACAAGAAAATGTGGAATTTTTCAAATTGGTGTGATGTGTACCTGCATTTCCAATAATGACAATAACATTGACATCATAAGAATTGTGGCCGTAAGTCAAAAGGTGCACTCCTGATCCTCATGTTTGTGCGTTGGCTTGTGTGACTGCTACCAGTTTGGGAAGTTGGAAATAGAGTGCTTTGTATTAAAAGATGTGTGATGTAATTCAATATAATTGTTATTGAAATTATGGGACCACAACACATTTTGTATTACATATTAACCATAATTTCGTCTTAATCAAATTTTTTTGATTCACTAACACATAGTGTGTTTCTGTTTCAACACTTGGTGATATTCCATCTTTATTCAGTTGATCAACTGAATAAAGATGGAATATCACCAAGTGTTGAAATAGAAACACACTNATTATGTACGAAAAAATATATTAACCTATCCCGTGTTGAAATTTTTCTCCGTCGCGTGTCGCTTCACGTTGAATTTTCAGCGATGTTAAGCCTAACGAAAATTTTTACAATAATAACTGTGACTATTGTATCGTTAAAAATTATTTCTTTACTTTGTACAAACAAAATAAATATATTGAAAAATATAAAAACAAAAAAATTGTACTTTACAAGTTAATCTAGTATCAAAAACATTCGATTCAGTACGACACAGTCCAACTGGAATGCTTTCGGTTAACCAATGCTTTGGTTGATCGGCATTCGGATAATCGGTGCTCTACTGTAATTGCATTGTCAAAAATAAAGGCACTGACACATTTGAAATGAATTAGAANAAAAATTTTCAATTCCATGAAATGAGGAGGAGATGGTATTTGCCATTTAAATGTGGAGCATTATATTAGAGTGATTAAACAAAACAAAGCTAAATGAAATCCATGATTTTTTGAAAAGGTAGAAAATATTTTTGCACTGAATTTTGGCTTTTTTTTTTTTACTCTTTTAGCATCAAAAATAGCCATACCTGGCATCACTGTATGAATGCCCTGATATGCAAACTAAGATGTGTTTGCATGGGACAGCATCCACTTGAAAGGGTGGATGTCCTTGAAATTTAATTACTATTTTCTGAGTACATGGAATGGTTCACTTAAACCAGATACTTGAATTGCTCCACAATTAGAGGTAGAACCTGTCTTTATTTACTAGGAAAAGAAAATCTATTCTACTCAAAATGGAACATTTATTACAATATTTATTGTTCACATAAAAAAATATAAAAAGCAACCATTATTGGAAATAGGGTTATTTGTCCTATAACTGATGGCAATTGCATCCATGTAGTGATAGTATTTCCAATTAAAAAAAGTACATAACCCTTGGCCTTTCTGTCATATACTGTGCCTTTCTGTTCCCACATAAATGGTATTTTTGCAAATGTTTGTGTAACTTGCATATTCTGTTGAGAGGTTGAAACAACAATGTTTTATGTCACCATATGCAGGAGTAATTATCACTTCCATAGAGAAGTTCTTTTTCTTTGAAACAAGAAGCTTGGAATATCAACAAAAACTGAAAGAGGTTCAGTCCTTCCTTCATACCTGATGGCATGGTATATGACAGAAAGGACAAGAGTTATGTACTTTCTTTAATTGGAAATACTATTACCACATCATCACATACAATTTTCATCAGATATGAAGGAAGGATTGAACCTACTTCAGTCTTTGTTGATATTTCAGCTTCTTGTTTCAAAGAATAAGGAGGACCCTTTTCCCTTGAGGGAAAACTTGGTTTTCAGATCGTCAAACTTTATGCCCAAGTCAAATTGTCTTTACTGATGGCCTCATGGACATTGAAAATAATAACTCATGGACATTGTTTCTTGGGCAATTGACACATGACTGCCTTATTCAGTGCCTTCCTTTCTGTCAACTCCTCTTGGAGTACGTGGATGTCCTTTTGGAATGCAACCTCAAAAAGGACACCATTCCTCATAACCAGGTGGATGTTTTCCACCCCTACTTTTAGCTTAGTAAGGTTGAAATTTCTCTTTATGCAGTTGTGGATAAAGAGAAATTGCACCACTGCTTTCCTTCCCATCCTTTAGGTACATGAGGAGAATGTGTTCTGTCAAGGGTAGGGTAGGCTCCCACTTTGGCATCTCAGCTGGCTGCTGAGGTTGGTTTACTTGCACCCTTTGTGTATGTCCCGTTCTTTGCTATAATGAGACTTTTTGTTGCCACTTAACTAGGTCTCAAATGATCTGTTGGAGGGACATGGGCCACCTTCTCAATAAGGGCTCTGACTGTTTTTAGAGCACAGAGTTTGCCAGTCATGTACTCTGAACTGCTTACGGGTGCACATAAACAAAACAAGAACAAACATTTTCGAACTCCACCTGAGTTCTTCATCAAGTTTTGTAACAATTACCTGATAGATCTTTGCAAAAGCTATTGGAATAAAAATTTGAATGCTTGTTCAAATTTTTATTCCAAAATCTTTCATGAAGATCCATTGGGTAATCGTAATAAAGTTTGATGAAGAACTTGGGTGGAGTTTGAAAATGTTTGTTTTTGTTTTGTTTATGTGCACACTGTAATCGGTTTGGAGTATGTTATTAACTATATCCTGGTATGGTGAGTTTGCAATCATGCTTCAATAGTATAGAGGTCATCTTGTGAGAAAGGTGCTGGATGGCCGAACCTACTGTCTTCTTACAGTGGTTGTCAGTCCTGCCAAGTAGATCCGCCAGTGCCTCTGAGATGCCCTCTATATTCTTGCTTATATCTGAACATTGGTACTGTACTGCAGCAATCTTTTCTTGCCTTTTTGACAAAGGAAGGTTCCTCTCTCTATTGGCTGAAGCAATCATTTGTCCTGGGTTCATACAGGATGTTTGACTTCATCACTTGGGGACCAACTCCTCTGGTCACTCTCAAAGCTTTCTCCTTGTCCTCAGCCATGGTTGGACATTCTTCAGTTGGACATTCTTCATGGTTGGACACTGGATTTCACCACTTCCCCAGGAAGAGTAGCATCTATATATGCTGCTCCCTCTTCCATGCACAATGCCCACTTACTACATGCAGCTGCCTTTTGGCTAACCAGGGACCATATTCTGGTCACTGTCTCAGGTCTCTCGTCTCTCACAAGCCTGTCGCTAATTGGCTAAGCCAAATGATTAGCCAATTTCAGAGGTGATCTTGTCAATCTCTTCTGGGCTGGAGTTGGAGGCTAGATCAATTATCTCCTTGACCCTTTCAAGAAGAACGGGTGACTCCATTCTTGCCTTTGCAGCCTTCTTCTTTCTGCTAGCATTCCTTTTTGTGGGACTGCTGCTTTTTGGTTGTGGTGCTAGATACACCACTTCCTCCTCCTTGTTTTACACTGAATGGTTCTTTGACATTTTCCCCTACTTTGCACTTCTGAGAGCTTAGAGTCGCATGCACAAACTTTCTTTGATCAGCCATCATAAATAAAATAAAGGAAGGAAGGGGGTCAAGATCATGCCCACCCTTCCATAGGTGCCCCACATCCTTTTGGGAGTTGGAGTATGTGTTTAAGAGCCTCTCCACGTCTGGTTTGGCCCACTACCAGGACACTCCAGCCTGATTGGTTGCTTGGCTAGGGCCACCCCCTCATCCCTAATAGGATGCTTTCTTTCTGTTTCTGGTTTCTGGTTTCTTGGGCAGTTATGTCCATTCAGCTCATAATGGAACTTTAAGCACCTCCCTCCCCTTCAGACATAAGGAAGTTGGCCCTATGCCACAGAGAGACTCTGCCAACCACATGTTACATTAGATAACAGTCAGTAGGATCCTGTAAGCCACTACAGGTCCTATCCCCTGGCCACCAGCAAGGCTTCAGCAACAGGAGTACAACTCCTCACCCTGCTGGCTTTGGCATGCAGGATGTGGCTCCTAGGCTATTACTGGGAATGCAAAGCCCTGTTCTCTTCCTAAGAAACTGCTTCCTCTTTACCGTGTGGAAGGATTTTTATGTGGCTTGTGCTGCCATGGGCTATGGGCAAGATCGACTGCATTCATCCACTCACAATGTGTTCAACCATTGACCTTGCGCCACTGAGGAGAATGGATGAGTTTGCAAAAGTGTATCTCAAGTTCCAGAAGGTAAGGTTGTTTCCGACCATGGATGCCAGTTTTTGTACCAATGCGGTGTTTGAATCCAGGAGATCTAGCGTTCCAACATCCCCAGGCCTCAAAGGACACTATGGGAACTTTACCTGCAAATATGGCAAGTGGTGGTTCATCTTGCTGCCAACTAGAGCAGAGCTTGATCAACAGCAGGGGGGCTCTGGCCAGGCCACAAAGTGACAGGGATCTCTAACACATCTGAATTTCACCTGTCAAGCGAAGCCTCACAAGGGGCACCTGCTTGTGCTTTCACTCCTTATCGGCAGGTCTACCAACTTGCATCGGACAAGCCCAAACAATTACACTCCACTTCACTTTGCCTTCATAGCTAGAAAAACAAATTCAGCACTAAACTACACTAATATTACAGATGTATCTGTTGTGAAAAACCCATATGTTCCAATCATTCATGCACAACCTTGTACAGCAGCAAAAACTATTTTATTAAACTGAAAAATTAATGTTTCAGTCATATTTAATGATTTTCATTAGAATCAACCTTTATAAGAATGATGATCATTAAATATGATTGAAAACATCAATTTTCATACTTCAGTTGTTGTAAGAAACATTGGCAATTACATTTTTTTACTGCACACTTTATAAATAAAAGAAAATAAACATAACTTTCTAGTCATCATAATTTAAATAAAGCCCTCAAATTTTGTTCAATGAAAAAATTTGTTTTCAGATAAACTGTTTATTTTAATTTAGAATAAGTATTATAAGTAGTATAAATATATAAGTACAGTGGTACCTCAGGATACGAAATTAATTCATTCTGAAACTGAGATCATATCATGAAAATGTCATAAGGTGAATCATTTTTTCCCATATGATTACATGTAAAACCAAATAATTTGTTCCAACACGAAAAACACACTCAAATTAAAGCTAAGTAGTACATTTTAAAAAAATAACTATAGTAAGGAAAACACTGAAAAATGTGTTTTGTAGTTGTAAATGTATAAATAACGATAATAGAATTATTGATTTAAAAAAATGTAGTTTTATTTGCACTTTACCTTTAAGGATAGACGACGGTAGAGGTGTAAACTGGTGAAGAGAGGGAGAAGGGAAATGATACTAAAACTTAACTTACATAACATAATGTAACAATAACTTAAAAATAACTTAGAAAAGATTAAAAATATATATATAAAACAACACTAATTTTTTTATTTTTATTCACTGCTTTTTGCTTTCTTTCCTTCACTTCCACCAGCACTTTTACTGGATAGATGTCACTTGGTAAAATATCTATCCAAAGAGGTTTGGCTTTGCCTACTTTTTAAAATATTTCTAAAATGACTTAGGCAAATGTCATTACTCTGAGCAGCAATACGGCCAGTGTGAACCTTTTCGGGATGTTTCTTTTCAATAAAATCAGTNAAAGAGAAATTGCACCACTGCTTTCCTTCCCATCCTTTGGGTACATGAGGAGAATGTGTTCTGTCAAGGGTAGGGTAGGCTCCCACTTTGGCATCTCAGCTGGCTGCTGAGGTTGGTTTACTTGCACCCTTTGTGTATGTCCCGTTCTTTGCTATAATGAGACTTTTTGTTGCCACTTAACTAGGTCTCAATTTGAATTGTATTTTGTCATTTGTTCAATAGAAGTTTAACACCAAAGATTTAAAAGTTTTGGTTCTCTGGTGTTAAAATGATATAGTAGGCTATAGTCTATCCCAGTACAATAAAACCTCATTATTTTGATATCAGATAATTCAAAGTCTAGTCTCCAGCCAAGAGAATAGGATTTTGCATATATTTTAGTTTGGATAATTCGAAATAGGCATACAATGAAATTTGAGGTCATTATCTGGTTCGGTGACCCACAAAAATATTGTGTAATTTGAAATCTTCCATCATATTATGTGTTTATGAAAAAGTTTTCATTCCGAAATGGTACTTTCGATTTCAGATTTACCAATTATACATTGTTGATTTATTGGATGTCTATTCAAGGTCATTCGGACATTGTATGCATTGCCAATGAAGAGAGAATTTTTCTATTTTTATGGAAGAAATCTGTTTGTCATTTAATTATTTCAGACATTTTTTCACAAAACATCTACTGTTTCAATAATTTCAGTCTATTAAATACCTGTGCATATTCATGATAGAATATCTACATATAGCTTTAGATGTTAATAGAGCTTGTTTTCATCAGATTACATAATTTTCGTAATCTCTATCTCAAGACATTTGCAGTACTTTATATTAAAGCACTTAAGCTTCTTTCGTATGTTATTTTCAGGTCTTGCTTTGAATGTAATTTGATTAATTTTCACTGTTTTCATTAAATGCACTCTAACTTATGGTTTTTTTTTTTAAATAGCTTAATTACTAAGTAATAGCTTGTAATATTAAAGCATTTGTAAATGAATAGGTAAAATTATATAAGATAATGTCATAATTTTATTCAATAATTACAAGAATGTTCGGATAATTCGACTCAGATAATTTGAAGTTGTGTTTTTTGGTTCCTTGAGTTTCAGAATAATGATGTTTTATAGTATATCATTTTTATATTTTAAAAATATTTAGACAAAATACCTGATTTTGGAATTTTTAAAACTTTGTTTAAATTTATCATATTAATTTTGAAGATAAATATATCTTGACTTTTTGTAAAATCATAAATAATTGCTTATGAGAATATACTTTGATAATATAAGAATATACTTTAAACTTAAACATTGAAGTTAATGACTTAAAACTTTTTGTTAGTTTCAGTTATTTTAAACTTGCAAAATATATTAATTTAAAACTTATATCACTTATTAATATTAATTGTAAACATTTTTTCATTATTTAGTTCCATTGCCTCCAACAAATGTCACTGTTAATTTGGAATCTATTACTCCATATTCTTTTACTGTTGAATGGTCACCGCCAAAATCTCTATCTGAATTTGATAAATACCAAGTATCTCTTGGATTTCGGTCACAGATTGGACAGATGATTGATCGTAATGAAGAACGTATGGTAGTGTTTGACAAGGATTTAGAGCCTGGACATACTTATGAAGTTATTGTGAAGACAATTAGTGGCAATGTTAGAAGTTGGGAGATCACTAAGAATATCACTACTAGTAAGTTAAAATGTATTTAAATTTGCATTAAAAAATATAAATAATGTATTTTATATATTTGTTATAGTATTGTTTATATTTTATTAATATTGAGTGGGAGACATCAAGATTATTTTGAATATATATAATACAAATAAAAAATTCACCCTAAATTTTTTATCATTTATTTTCTGTGAACAAGAACTTTCAATCCTTTTAAAGAATCATTTTCAGGTTCAACAACATTGTAAATACAGTAGAGCGTTGTTTATCCGAATCAATTGGGACTGAGGTTGTTCGGATAACCGATTATGTACGAAAAAATATATTAACCTATCCCGTGTTGAAATTTTTCTCCGTCGCGTGTCGCTTCACGTTGAATTTTCAGCGATGTTAAGCCTAACGAAAATTTTTACAATAATAACTGTGACTATTGTATCGTTAAAAATTATTTCTTTACTTTGTACAAACAAAATAAATATATTGAAAAATATAAAAACAAAAAAATTGTACTTTACAAGTTAATCTAGTATCAAAAACATTCGATTCAGTACGACACAGTCCAACTGGAATGCTTTCGGTTAACCAATGCTTTGGTTGATCGGCATTCGGATAATCGGTGCTCTACTGTAATTGCATTGTCAAAAATAAAGGCACTGACACATTTGAAATGAATTAGAATTGGTTCAGACATTATGGAAGAGAAAAGAATATAAAATATAGTATTATTGTACAGTTATATTTAATCTACATTGTTATTTTATTGAATCATACTGATTATGTGCAACAATTGAAAGTAGTGCACCCTTGTATTTCATTAGTTTACTGCATATGGTTATTCAAGCATTTTTTTACATTTTTCATTGTGTGCTGAAATTTTATACATTATATTCTCTGAGACTCTGAGAGTTATGAAGGTATTGATTTTTTCTGATTTTTTTCAAAAATTCTTGAAGAATCGACTAATGAATGGTTAATGAAATTAAAGTAAAATAAAAACATTTTTATAGATATGACATGACTACACGTTTTTTAAGAAATAATTGTTTTAATTGGTGTTCTTTTACAGAATTGTAAAGAGTAACTACTCAACCTAAACCATCTGGATTATTATAAGGTTATATAAATTATTTAAACCAGTGTTTTTCGACTTTTTTTTTTATCTCACAGCACACTTGAACCTATAATTAAATTTTTATGGTACAAATTTACACAGGAAAAAAATCACGTGATTTAAAGTTGTCTTTGTAAACATTCTATTGCCATATTACTTACCGCTTTTAACCTTGTAACGCACCATTTATGAAAACGAAAAGGGGTTACACAATAGTAGGGTTCAAGTACCAAGCCTGGACTTTCCAAATAAAAACAATAATTTTCACCACCACAGACAATAATTAACAATAAATATAAAGTTTAATTCTATTGACAAAAAAAACAGACAATGGGTTAATTGACCCCAACAGAAAGTTAACTAATTTAAAAGTAGCAACAAAATCAACCTTGAAAAGTAGCAACAAAATCAATAATCAAAGAAACTTGTATGTATATATAATCAACAAAACTTTTATCTCCACCTCAAAAAATATGATTTTACAGCAAAAGATACTATTTCCTCTAGTTTATCACCGCCACCGCTCCCACAGTGGTCACCTGAAGCTACCTCTGTCGTGGATGCACCACCTTTTATTCTACCTCGAGTGCAGCTCCGCACTGTCTTAATTTACATAAGTTGTCATTACAGGATCAGGCACTGATGCAAACTAAGTTTGCTTTTTCTTTCATGGTCATGGGTGCTCAGGAGTTTGTCCTTAACAAAAAAAGAACCCCGAAAAGAAAATAATTAAATAAAAATAATGCCCCAAGACAAAATAACGATCGGACATTGACTCCTTTACAACCTAATTCTTTTTGTCTATATCTTTTGTAAATTAAACGAAACAGTGTTGTTGTTCATTAAAATAACAGCAGGTTACAACCATAGTTATTTAAATTAATAATTTTCATTTACATAAGAAAAACAATTAACATTAAGTTTTAGTTTGCATTTAAAAGTGACACAATAACTGCCTTTAGAAACCTTCCCAATGTCCTAAGTTAAAATAATTTGAATTAATTATGGACAATTACAGATATATTTTTGATTTAAAGAAAATTTCATTTTAAATGAAATAACCCAGTGTTAAGCATATATAATTTTGCTTATGGATATATGTTTTACTACATTATGTATATGTTTATTTTTATAACAATGAAAAACTCATATAATCAATTTAAAGATGTTTTAATTTTGACAGGTACACTTATAGTTCTTTGGGCTTCTTTTGAAAAGAATTTATTTAATAATTTCAAAAATTTTTTCTTTTAACATTCTTCATGCAGGATTCTACAGTATATGCAGGAGAACTTTTATATTCTGATTTTCTAATAAACAAATAAATTCAGATTTTTAAGAGCTTATAATTTTTTTATTAAGAGTCGTTTTGAGCTTTAGTTTTACATCTCCATATTTTAATTATTTCACTTTATAAATTAAAAGTTTAGAAAATCTGAATTCAGTACATTTGTATTTAATTTTAATTATGAAAGAAATAAATATTTTTTCATGCCAGATTCTTACCAGAAAAAAGTTTATTAGCATTGTCTATCACAATGTAAATAAAATTTTAATGAGTAAAAACATGAAAGCACAAAAATAAACACACAATATTTTGCAAACACTTTTAACGTGTATTAGAATGTCTTCAGGTGAAATGAAAACAAATTTTAGAACATTGATAAAAATTTTACCGTTAACATGTTCTAATTGGAACAAGTGTTATTTTTAAACAGTTAATGTTATTATGTTCTAATTGGAATGTATGTGTTAAATTTAAATGGTGTGCTATCAAATATGTTTTCATTTCATCCAAAGAAGACATACATGTCAAAAGTGCTTGTGAGATATTTTGTGTTTATTTTTGCTTTTTTTATGTTTTAATCATTAAAACTTTATGATAACTGTCTATTGCCATTAATACACTTTAATTTTAATTTAATAATAGAAAAATAAAATATGATTTTTAAAAAATTTTTAAATTTTTCTAATTTTCAGGACCTCTGCCAGTTATGTCAGTTAATTCTTCATTGTTAGCAACAAATGTTTTAGTAGAGTGGCTTCCTAATAATGAAAGCAAACAAGATTCTTATATGGTATGGTCTGAAATTTTATTTTTTATGCTAAGATATAAATAGATTATATGACTTAACTATCAGCAATCATGAGCTAATAATAACATTTGAAATGAAAACTAAAATCTTAATACATTATTAAAAGAAAACAATTATGAGTTGAATAAACATAATAGAAAACTACTAGTATAGATACCAACAACCTTGATTCGGTTCAACAACAGGTATAATTCTTAAAAAAATAAACATTTTGACTTTCTCATAAGATTGCTTCAAGTGAAATGTAAATTCTAAAATGGAATAGTCAATAGAACAGAATCATAAATCAAATTCAAAACAACCAGTGGGATGCATGTATTGTACATATGACTGACACAATTAAATCATATTATGATAAAGTGCTTGTCATGCATAATAAACACATTTTTTCTCTTTAAAATTAAAATTAATACAATGTGCTTGTTTGTCAGCTTTGAAAATTTCAAGAGCTTCTTATTGCTTGATTTGTTTAGTAGTGTGTCTAAGCATAGTAGCTTGTTGTGACATCTTCAACATCATTTTCTGATGTGTATGTACTGAGGGTGGTAGTTCTTTACTAATTAATTATATCATATTCATATTCAGCTACTTGTTTTAGGGATCTTTTCATAGATCCTATGTGAACAAGTCCTCTCTGGAATCAGTTATCACATGAGGATCAATTATCACTTAATAGACGATTGGTGATCAGTTGGTGCTGACTGAACACACGATGATTGATTCCAGAGAGGACTTGTTTACATAAAATCTCCCTAAAACAACATGTAACCAAATGTGAATATGATAGATATAATTAATAAGAAAGAACTATTGCCCTTTCTACATATGCATTACAAAACAATGTTAATGGTAAGTTATAATGACCACTATGGTCAGATGTGCTATTCACACTAAACAATGCAATTAGATCTGAAAATATTCAAAGCCAACTATCAATGACATTATATTAATTTTAATTTAAAGAAGGAAAATGTATTTCTTATGTTTGGCAAGCACATTATGTTACTGCATTATGATTTAATTGCATGTAAAATATTCTCAAGACAAACTGGATTTAATGCAATTAGATAAGGAAATACACTTTTCGATTTCCACCATTAGTTTAATATCCAAACAAAAACATTTGATATGTAACAAATTATGCCAAGTAAAAATTTATGACAATTTAGAAGATGGTCAAAATTTTTCTTAGCAGTTTTTCTTTGGTAAGATAAGCTTGGTACTTGGAAGCAGTACCCACAAGATTTTTACCTGTATTTACCTTATATTTTGCCTTTAATTGCCAAGCTTATCTTTACCAAAGAAAAACTGCTAAGAAAAATTTTGACCAGCATCTAAACTGTCATCAATTTTTACTTGGCATAAGTTTTTTTTATATCTCGGGTGTTTTTGTTTGCATAGCAATTGTTTTTGTTTAATAATTGTATTGTTATGTCAAGACATAAGATTGGTTAGTGTTTGGCAACCACCAATTGACTACATTCATTCATTCATTCATTCATTTTAATTTATTAGGTACAATATTATGTACATTTCCTGGCCCCACTGTAGAGCATTACCAGGAAAAATTTTACAATAAGTGAATATATAGTATACCTAAGATTAATATATAAAGTATACCAACTGACTACACCCAGGAGAACACCCTCCAGCCGCCCCCGCTGTACCCTGCCCAAGGTATACCAGCGGTCTTGTCCTCTTTTCTTTCTGCCTCCCTATCTACAGTTTTGTTCTCCTTATATTTACTAGATGTCACGGGTGTACTTTAGTTCATATTAGTTGGTCACTCTTCTTATCTTGGTTCTCTTTCGCAAGATGTTTCTCATGACTTTCATAACTTGCTGGAAGTTTCGCTTCCTCATCATCTTCTTCTTATCTTCATCTGTCACTTCAGCTTTCATGTAGAGATCCATCAAAAAATCTGAGTCTCTTCTTTCTTCGTCAAAGATTACACATGCAAACAGTACGTGGTCCGCATTATCAGTTTGTCCGCACTCACATAACGAAGTATTTGCCAGTCCAAAGCTCTGTAACCTCTCTTTGAAATCTCCATGTCCTGTTAAGAATTGAGTAATGTAGAAGTCGCTCCTTAGCCATTTCATACTCTGTCGTTCTTGTATGTTGTTAATATAACGAAATGTATGACGTCCTTTATCGACGTTGATCCAGTCTCTTTGCCATAGATCCTTAAGGTATTCTTCCACTTCTCTTCTTCTGTCTCTTCTTGTTTCAACTGTGCCTGCTTCGCTAAACTCTCTTCCTTTGATAGTAAATGCCTTGCCTTTATTTATGTAAAACCTGGCGTATGCCTTCCAAATCTCGAGCTCTATTGGTAGAGCATTGGCTAACACTTGCAGGGCTGCAGCTGAGCAGGTCCTATATCCTTTTAGTGTTCGAAGTAAGGCTGTGCGCTGGGCTCCGACGAGTTTCCTCTTGCTTAGTGTTATGATTTTGTTGGCCCAGGCGGCCGCTGCATATGTGATCATGGGTATGAAAAGCCCTTTATAGATATTGAGCATTGCTCGAGAGTTGAGGCCCCATTCAGTCCTAGCGATGCGACCAAGGCAATTGAAATAATTAGCAGCCTTTCCCGTTACGACCTTTGCATGTTCGGTTATATTAAAGTTCTTTCCTATGGTTAGGCCGAGGTACTTGACTGTCTTTTCCATTTTGATCGAATGGCCGTAAAGTTTGATTATAGGCGGTCGTTCTTCACTTAAACTTCCTTTCAGCATGACCATGATTTTTTTTTCAGTTGAAAATCTCAGCTTATGGGCGGTGGCCCACGTTTCCAGATTGGTCATTAATATCTTGCCTTTTGTTTCTATTTCTCTCCTGCTATTCCCTTCCAGTACCACGGCCTCGTCATCTGCATAGGCAATTGCCGGGAACCCCAACGCTTCTAGCAGCCTAAGATTAGAGTCAAAAACCAAGTTCCACATATCTGGCCCCAAGATGGAGCCTTGAGGACACCCACGGTAAAGGTGTTTTGTAATATTCATGTTATCATCGATTATAGCAGCTCTCCTGTTGTGAAGGTAATCTTTAATAAGCCAATATAAATTCCTTGGACACTGTCGTTGCGTCAATTCTTCTAGGATGTCTGGCCACCACAGATGGTCGAAGGCTCCGACTATATCAAAGAAAATTCCCACGACGTATTTCTCTGTTGAGTTTTCAATCAGTGTTCTTAGCTTTAGTATTGCGTCAGTAGTAGAGCGACCGATCCTGAAGCCATACTGGCTGTTTTCTGTGTTATCCTGCATATCTTTCCTTAGGCGAATTCGGATAAGGCCTTCCAAAGTCTTTCCCAAAACTGGGAGAAGGCATATCGGTCGGTATGATCTATGGTCGCTTCTGTCCCTGTTGCCAGGTTTCAGAATGGTAACCAAACGTCCTATCTTCCATTCCTCAGGGAAAACACCGTAACGTAGGCAGGCATTGTAGCCTTTGATTAACTCGCCTTCTATGTGGTCATAGGCCAATCCAATATTGATTTATCAATTCCATCAATTCCCGGGGCCTTGCCCCTTTTCATTTTTGCCACAACACACCTAAGCTCAGACTCCTCAAATGGGGGACTATCCGTCTCTCCTCTGTACCTTTCCACCTTCCTTCTGAGGTCTTGTTGTTCGGGCGAATCCTCTTCCAGATTGTCTTGCTTGAAGAGAGATTCCATGATGTTTGAGGCAGCTTGCCTACAATCTGTCGCCTCGGTGGATCCAAATCTTATAGGTCAGAAGATTTGAACTCTTTTGATTTTTCCTGTGTTAATTTTGTACGGTAAGCCCCATGGGTTGGTCTGGCCTGTGTCTGTCACGTAATTCCTCCAGCTCCTTTGTTTTGCCTCTAGCACAGCTTTCCTGAATTGGCGTTTAAGTTGGTAATATTCGGACCTTAGGTCGGCCCTTACATCTGGGTCGTGTTCTCGTTGATATCTACGTCTTGCTCTATATGTTTTTGTCTTAATATCTTCAAGTTCATCACTCCACCATCTCTGTTGCTGTTTAGCATTTTGTCTATTGGGAATTGCGACTTTTGCAGCCTTAAGAATGGCTTTTTGAATGGCATAACATTGCCGCACCACATCCGTTCCATTATTGATATTGCTTACTCTTCTTTTATTAAGTTCACTACATAGAATGGACCTGAACAAACTCCAGTTGGCTTTATGTGTATTATATCTTCCGAGTTCTGTAGCAATAAAAGAGTGTGCAGTAGCCGAGATTTCAAACGTGATGACATTGTGATCACTTGAACACCATCCTTTGTGTACCGCCCAATTGCTCACTTGTGGTAAGATCTGCTCACTGGCGACTGTAATGTCAATATTAGATTCTCCTCTACCTGATGAGAATGTCGACACCTGGCTTGGTGTATTTACAACAATTAACCCGTGAGCTGCCAAGAGGGCCAGTAACTTTTCACCATTGGAATCGGTTCTGTCACTTCCCCATGTTGGGGATTTAGCGTTGCTGTCTACACACACTATAGTCCTGCTGCTCGGGAGATTCCGTAACACATTATCGAGCCTGTCAAGCCCCTCTTCTATAGGGGCGCCAAACTGGAAGTAGATATTGACGATATGGAGATCATAGCCTCCAATAATGACGTGAGCACAGACACAGTGCAAATCATTAAGATGTGTGAGTTCCATGACTGTTAGATTGTCATTTAAGATAATAATTCCTGCCCAGGGGGCCACATTCCTTTCGTTGCCTTGAATAATTCTCGTTTTTATACTATAACCAACGATTTTCCCGGCCATTGAGTATGGTTCCTGAATTGCCAATATATCAGTTCTGTTATCAATCATCACTTGCCTTAATTCGGCGGGGACTATTTGGCCTCTACCGCCATTGATTTGCATTACTTTGAGATTTATACTTCTACCCATCAGTCGTATGATATAGTATTTAAGTATCTCTCAATTGCCATCTTATAAGCCATACATTGCTTGTTACCTCGAGTGTGATTGTGCG